AGTCCCCTTCTCGCCGGACGTCGAACCCAAATGGCCCGAATGCTTGGTCTTGAGCTTAGCGCGGACGCCAATCACAGGTCAAACGCCAAGCTTCCGGCTCAAATCAACGACCAAATCGAGCTCCTCCTCTTGCTCGAGAACAACCACGGTAAGCTTGCGAGTGTACAGCGCCAGAGAAATGTATTCCAAGTCTTTGAATCCGTTGCAGATGAGAAGGGCATCGGGGTTACCCTTGCATAAGCAGCTCATGGCCAAGAGGAGCTCCGGCTTCGACTCGACTTCCAGTCTGAACCGGAACGGCGATCCAAACTTGACAATCTCCTCCACGACGAACCGGTCCTGGTTGCATTTCACCGAGTACACGCCCTGGTAGTGGGACCCGTAGTCGTGGGACCGGATCGCCAGATCGAAGGCGTCCTGGAGCGATCGAGCCTGTTCTTGAGCACATCGGGCAGGTGATCAATGAGCGGTGGCAGCAACCCGAGCCCACAGTCCGGTTTCGGATCCGAAACCTTCTTCACGATCTTCAGCAGATCGATCTCCTGGTGCGGCAGAGTCGCCCTCCCGTGAGGACGGATGGCAACGTTGCCGGAGGAATTGACGGTGAAGTAGGGCCCACCCTAGGCATCGATTCGGTAGAGGTCGGATGAGAAGGACGGGGACCAATAGGAATTGTTGGCGGCGGGTGTGATGTGAGGAACAGTTTCCACAGAACTTGTTGGAGTTGATGTGGAACAATGCGAGATCCGTGAGCAGCCCGAGCTCCTCCGGCAAGTACCTGGCAATGTCGCCGTGGTTGAGGTCGATCCCGGCCACGGTCCTGATCGTGCTGTTGTCGAACGCCTTGGTGCAGAAAACTGCGGTGTACTTGCAGACATTAGATCCCACCCAATTGCCCGTGATGTTGAGCGGGTTGGAGAGAGAATGGCATGCTTCAACGCCTGCAGAGCTATGTAAGCGTTCCGGAGCCAGTCATTTCTCGAAGACGAGAGAGGGGTCGACGGTCACGAGCTCGCCGCGGTCGTCGAACTCGTCGCGGTAGTAAAGGAGCTGGCGGTTCTTGATGTAGAGGGCTTCCTCGTCGGAGAGGGCTCCATGGCTAACAATGTGGCTGCTGCGGCGGGTGCTGGTGTCGATCCTCCTGAGCAGCAACACAATAGAAGAGTGATGACGCGGCAAGGAAAAGGGCAGTGAGGAGAAGTGAGAGGTGGACGAGGGTGGAACGCTTGCAATCCGAGGAGAAGGCTATGATAGAGAGCTTTGGGAAAGAATGGTCTTTTGGGCTGCTCATTTTCATGGATTTGGGCTCCGGAGGTGATGATCCCTTTGGGCTTCGATAAGGGCCTGGGCTGCACAGGCTTTGGGCTTCACAAGCACAATCAAGTGCCTTCTTGCTGATTTTTTTTTTTTTTTTTTTTTTTAAAAAACTGTAATTTAATTGTGTACAAAGAAAATTGCAATTTTTTTTTAACACAAAATAAATTTGTAATAAAATTGACCTTCATCAATGAAACACTTATTTATTTATTTTAAAAAAATACAAAGTAATCACATATGTATTCTTTCTTTTTCTTTTTTTTTTGTTGTGAAACATTTTTTTTTTATTTTGAGGTGACTGAACTTGAAATTGAATATTCAAGCTGCCTACGTACCCTTCCAAAGAAAGAGATCAAGTCAAAACGTAGTTCAAATACATACATATTTTTTTGGAATTTTCTTTTTGTGCCGTTTGCAGTTTTAACTCATGCAGGCAATGAGTGTTAGTGTCGTTTGCAGTTTCAACTCGTGCAGGCGAGGAGTCTCGTGTCCTACAGTTTAGGCTCGTGCGGACAAGGAGCTTTTGGTTCGTGCAGTTTAGGCTCGTGCGAACAAGGAGCATTGTGTCTTACAGTTTAGGCTCTTACAGACAAGGAGCTTTGGTGAATTTGTCAAGCAATTTTGGAGAGGCGTTCCTCATAATCTTCATAGCAAGGAGCCTTGACCGAGTGATTGAAAAAGTCTTCAGGAAAGAAATCACGCATTGTGATAGGGATGGACGATCTATGTGTCAAAATTTCATCATCTTCAACACGTTCATGTTGCTTTGAAGGTTGACAAGAGCTGCTTTGCCCCCTTTCCAATTGGCGGACATGTGGAGGAGACGTATGCTTCTTGTGCAATTTCTTAGGAGTGACTTGAGTCCATCCTTCAATTTTGCTTGTCTTGGACGATGCCCCCAGCGGTTGAGGTGAAAACTTTGAGTCGGAAGAGCCAGATGTGAAGGTGGTATAGTTTGACTTCGCCACTTCGTCAAGATCTAGCTCGATGATTCCTTTCTGAGCCAGTTTCATGATAAGATCTTTCAGCACGAAACATTTTTCTGTCGGATGACTGATGAAGCGATGGAATTTACAGTATCTTGGATTATCGGTACGATTCATCTCTTCCGACCGTCTGCACTCAGGCAAACTGATCACCTTCTTGTCCAACAGGTCATCCAGCATGGCAACCACATCAGAGTCGGGAAATGGATAAGTCTTCTCTTCAAGCTCCTTCAAAGTGCGTCTACGCATCTCTTGATCACGAAAAGCTTCGTTTTGAATCGCCTTGCCTCATGTGGAGATTTTTGACGGGAGCTGTATTGACCGTCATCGCTTCCTTGGTGGGTTTCCATGCAGTCTTTTCCGCCTTTGTCCCAAGAACTTTGTCGTCCTTATAGTCGGTGACCGGTTCTTTCTTCCCATGATGGGCGATGCTCAACTCCATGTCATGGGCGCGAGTGGCCAATTCCTCGAAGGTCCGTGGTTTAATGCCTTGAAGGATGTATTGCAAACCCCATTGCATGCCTTGGATGCACATCTCGATTGAAGAGGTTTCCAAGAGCCTGTCCTTACAATCGAGGCTTAGAGTGCGCCATCTGTTGATGTAGTCAATGACTGGCTCGTCCTTCCACTGCTTTGTGCTCGTTAGCTCTAGCATGCTCACAGTGCGGCGGGTGCTATAGAAGCGGTTGAGGAATTCCCGCTCTAATTGCTCCCAACTGTTGATGGACTCAGGCTCCAGATTCGTGTACCACTCAAAGGCGTTTCCTTTCAGCGAGTGCACAAACTGCTTGGCGAGGTAATCCCCTTCGGTTCCTGCGTTGTTGCAGGTTTCAACGAAGTGGGCAACGTGCTGTTTCGGGTTTCCCTTTCCATCAAATTGCATGAACTTTGGTGGTTGATAACCCCTCAGCATCCTTAAGGCGTCGATCTTCTTTGAATACGGCTTTGAGTACAACCCGGAGGTATTTGAGCTCCCTTCGTATTGTGCCTTGATGGTGTTGGTGATCATCTCTTGCAGCTGCTGGATAGAAAGAGATCCCATGAGTGCCGCTGCTTGGTGTCTGGCTCGGGCTTCGCATCGTTTTTCTCCACCTGAGGCTCATCTTCTGGGTTAGGGTTCTCGTTGTCCTGTGGCTCCAGTCGGCTGACGAGTGCAGCGATTTGCAAGTCTTTTTCTTCCACAGTTCGGGTTAGCCTTGCGATTGCTTCATTCATCTGAGCTAGTTGTTCTTCAACGGAGGTAACGCCGATAGTCATGACTTGTGCGACTAATAGACGTGACTTTCCTTTAGACATCCAGGATGCTGATGAAGAACGTCGTTGGCTGCTTTGAGATGTCATCTTATGTGCCTCAGCATCATGCTTCGGTGTCCCCAGCGAGGTCAGGTTGATGACAGACTCGCACCTTGGATGCTCCCCTTGCTCTTTTAGCGGCACCAATTTTGAAGTGGCATGTTGAGGAGCGGTTGTGGCGCCAATGGATTGTCCGTTTGCGGCAGAAGTGCTTAGGATCTTTCCCTCAATGGTTGCAAGAACGGCTTGTCCCTTGCTTGATGCCATTGACTTTGAGGTGTGCTTGGATTCCTTGAACGGAGAAAGAGATGAGAGGTAGAGATTGTCCCACTGGGCGTGCCAATTTGTGAACACGGAAAATTCCTAAAACGAAAGAGACAAGAACAACGTGCACAAACAAATATTTGTATTTAGATGATTTTGGGTTACAATCTCTCTCTATTTTGATCATCTGATTCGATCTTCGTAAGGTGTTGATTTATGGATGTTTCGTTGATCCAAGGGCCGTCGGGGCTTGATCTTGGATGAACTGTTTGGAAGTTTCTTCAAAGGGCCATGGGCTTAATCTTTGAAGGTGGATTTGAGCGGATCTTCAAGGAGCCGTTGGGGCTTGATCTTGAGGATGAATGTTTCTTCAAGGGCCGTTTGAGGCTTGATCTTGAATAACGGTGATGAGCGGATCTTCAAGGGCTTTTGGGCTTGATCTTGAAGAAACAGTGATGAACAGATCTTCAAGGGCTTTTGGGCTTAATCTTGAAGAACGGTTGGATGTGTGTGGATTTGTCGACGTTGTTGATCCAAAGGGCCGTTGGGGCTTGATCTTGGATGAACGGATGATGAACGATGGTGCTTTCTTCAAGGGCCGTCGGGGCTTGATCTTGAATTGGTGGATGATTGTTGATCCAAAGGGCCGTTGGGGTTTGATCTTGGATGAACGATGAACGAAGAACGAAAAGAGCTTTCTTGATTCTTCGGGAACCTGGATGCTTGAGAGCTTCGGAGTTTCAGAGCTTCAGAGCTTCAAGGTGTAATATGAATTGGTTTCCCCCAAATGAATGAAATGGGCTTGTATTTATAGAATTTATCAAGGCCTAATTTTGAATATAATATCCCAGATGAAATAAGTCGTTTCTGCCAGGTGTTGACACGTGTCCTATTTGATGACTTTTCCAATTCATTTCAATTTTCGTTGAGTCACACGCTACGTGTAAAATTTATGTAATACATGAGCGTTGACACTTTGATTTATCGGTCAACATTTATTTACCAAAATTTCGATGTCTACAATGGCATTTTTTTAATATATGTCATAGGTAACAATTTAACATGAACTCTCGTTCATTATTTTTGGAATCCTACTTATGGGTAATTATCTAAAAAGTAATTTTCTAAAAATTTGTATAGGTTACCAAAGGATATGATGCTGTAGACTCTCAATTCAGATATGATAATGGAACCAAAAACCCTGCAACCTCCTTTCTTGTTGGGCCTAAAGCCTTGGCGACAAGCCTGTACCAGCTCTCTCCACCACAGGTAAGTAAAAGTGTGTCTATTGCCATATATAGGAACCTTATCGTGTTCTCTTAACACACACTAGAAAGATAAGGTGTAGTGTAAGAGTAGAGCATTAATAGTTCTAAAATATAAGTTGGGGCTTTCCAATATTGGTTAGCTAATACTTTTTTTGTTTTATGCTTGTAATGGACAGGATTTAACTCTAGCATTATCGTTGGTGAGACCTTTTCCTTTATATAATTACGATGTAATAAAACTCACGAAGGAGAAGTATGGATCAGTTCCTAGAGTATTCATCGTGGCCAACCAAGACCGTACGATAATGTTGGATGTGCAAAATTACATGATCAAGAACAATCCCCCAAATGAAGTGAAAGTGATAAACGGTTCTGATCACATGGTCATGTTCTCTAAACCAGTGGAGCTGTTCTGCCACCTCCAAAGTATTGCTGAGAAGTATTCATAAAGATATGGATGGACATGATTAATTCAGGCATACTAGCTAGCTAGCCTACGTTGCATGCACCATAGTACAAAATGTAAATGAATAAATGAGATTGTTATAATTACGAATAATTATGTGTCCATGAACTTTAGTTCAAGAGGCATGACGCACTACTATAAACTTGGTCACTTAGTTTAGCTTGGCTTGTGGTCACTTAGATGTAGGCTAAGTCTCACAATAGGCTAGCAATAATGTGATTCAAATTCGTCTTAATCGAGAATCGAACCTAATATATATCACTTATAAGTACAGCTTAGAACACCACTAGACAGTAGTAGTAAGTGGCTTCAAAGTTATGTTTTTAATTTTTATTTATGAGTGCATTTTTGCTCATCACCCTATTTATCACTGTTAGATGTGTTTGAATTTTGATATTTGTGCCTATCCACTACACGAATCTCGAAATTCAAACTCATTTAACGGTGATAAATATGGTGATGAGCATACATCATAGTTTATGGTGGTGAGCGAAAATACTCCCTTTATTTTTTGGGTTGCCTAGCAACTATGCCCTACCATTAACTCTCTATCCCATCTTTGTAATCTATATCTCCATTTAAAGGGCTGCTCTATAGGCACTCAAAATACAATCAATTAGTTAATTTAATAAAATTAATCTAAGCATAGAGTGCTTCATCCTTCTACAATTAAGTATTTGACTTTTGGTCATGATGAGTTAATCAACGATTAATGACAATGAGCGAGTTTCGTTGTCCTAGTTGAGTGAATCCCCAATTCTTACCCTCCATCTCTTTGAGACCTTGGCTTTGTCTTGCATCAAGTGGCATCAAAGAAGGTTTTCAGATTTATATTCAAAATCCTGGTGGGTGTTACGGTCTGATAGTATTCATCTTCATTTGTAAATAAGAGGTTTTAGGTTCGAATTTCGTAGACAGCAAATTCGATATCAATTTAGATTACCCATTATGTGGCTTAGCCGAACTCACCCTCTACTTTGGTCGTCAAAGCTGATTTGGTGTTATCTTTTTTGCCGAGACAATCATATATCGTCGGAAACATGTGGAAATGTAGTTTTCAATGCAATAAACAGTGCATTAAACAAATTTTTGTGTGAATAGATATAGCAAAACACTGCTGCGAAAACAAAATCATGTATAGTTGCCGGATAAATCGGAGTTCATTATTTTGTGCTCGTATTTTCAAGCCTTATATTGTTGGAAGACACTTTCAGTCAAGTTTTCAATTCTTCTTCGTGCTGTTGCGAAAACAGAATTAGTATTATCATACCTATTTTTGGTTTCACACTTTTTTCATTCCATGCGTTACGATTGTATGTTTGTAAAAACTCCTAGGCATTGCTGTAATTTCAGCTTGTTAAATAATTATAATAAGATTCTGGAAGGCTTTTCGTAATTTGAACCCCTTTTCCCCTTAATAACAGCAAACTTATTGCCTGCATGTGTCAAAACAGAGTCCATAGATCCATATAAATGTACGTCCTTTCACTGGAGATGCTCTTAGAAACTTCAATGTGTGTGTGGGTCTATATATATATATATATATATATATAGAGAGAGAGAGAGAGAGAGAGAGAGAGAGAGAGAGAGAGAGAGAGAGAGAGAGAGAGAGAGAGAGAGAGAGAGAGAGAGAGAGAGAGAGAGTACGTAGATGATTATTTTCAGATCTACCTTTAGTTGAAAATAAATGGTAATTTCAATACTTTATTCTTCATTGCAAGGAGGTATTTATAGGAACACAATTGTGCAATATTAGAAAAATAAATCAAACTAGACTTTGGCTCACAAGGACAAGGAAACCTAAATTTTAAAATGACAATATAAAATCCCTATTTATAACTATCCCAAAAATAAATTTCGGCCAAATTGGCCTTGTGGTGTGAAACTGAAGAAAGTTTAGTTTCCCCGATATACTTAATAATTAAAAAAAACCAATCGACCCATGCAACAAATCAAACTGAAACTACTCAACATGAGAAGGAGGTTGGTGGTGGTTAGAAGTCCTACCTTAGCCGTAGAAGTGAGGCCTCGTCGGAGCTCGAGTTTCCAAAGGGTTATGCTTCAAATTAAGGGAAATAAAGGTCGTTCTTGTGTTGGGATTGAGTAGGAGATGAAAATGGTGGTGGTTTAGTGACTTGGTTAACTGCAGAATTGCGCTCCGCTGTTCTCTTCCTCTGTGTAGAACAGGGGAGAGTGAGAATGAGTCGGGAGAGAGAGTGAATGTAAGCGTAGGGAGAAGAGAGAGTGGGTCCCAGTGGGCTCAAAACCCAACAGCGTAAAATAAGAATCCAAACATTACGTGAATTTACGAGAATGTCCTTAATCTTTTGAATCTTAGTTTTAACTCCAAAATCCGTTGCGTTTGTTCCCCCGCGTTCATAGCAACAAGTATTACAAGAACAGGCTAGGATAACACCTCATACGTCACGAGCAGGAAAGTCTACAAAAAGTCAATATCTACCCTTCTAGGGGCCTTTTGATCATTTCACATCTTTGAAAATTAAAATACACCAAAATTAGAAACAGCTCGTATGAAGCTTGGTGGGCCAAGACGCAACTATTCTGATCATGAGGTCGAAGTGAGGTGGTTTTACAAACCATGACACCGTTCACCTCAAGGGAATAAAGATCAATTATGGAAGTTTGGGATGCCGAGATTTCATCACTGACTTGAGGTTGCGAGGGCTTGTGCGGAAGATTAGAAACCCGATGACGTTGAAGAATTTGAGTTTGATGTTGAAGCACCACGAGTCTCAGACCTGGAAGTAAATCAATTTTCATTGTCTTCATATTATCAAGTTAGTCGCAAGGAAGATAAACTTGGCATTGCACTAGCAGAAAAACCTCAAAACGGTGAAATGGAATTTGATTGCGATAAGAACTCAAGTTTGATCAAATGGTTGGTTCTTTGATTGGATTTTACCAACGATTTTTTATGAATATGTTGACGATGAAGAAGTGAACCTGAAGAATGACAGCCGAGAAACTTTTTCAAGACAAAAAAATTGAATTTGTATCACCGAAGAATTCAACATGTCTACGTCAAGATGGGGTTGATAAAGGCTATTGCTCAGGCGGTTCCTGCGTACCCAATGAATATATTTAAATTCCCAGATACTTTATGCAATGAGATTGATGTTGCTCTAGCAAGATTTTGGTGGGGACAACAAGAAAACGAAATAAGAATTCACTGGATTAGTTGGGAAGATATGGGGTACTCAAAATGTGAAGGGGGAATAGGTTTCAGGAACTTAAAAGAGTTTAATGTCGCTCTTCTTGCCAAGCAATGTTGAAGATTAATTCATGATCCAAATTCTTTGTGGGCCCAGGTTTTAAAGGCGCGATACTTCCCTCACGTTTCGTTTTTGGAAGCTAAGAAGGGTGGGCGGGCATCATGGATTTGGTCCAGTTTGCTTGAAGGGAGTTGTTGCTTAAAGGTATGCAATGGCAAGTTATGAGTGGTAATCAAATAAAATTTTGGGTTGATAATTGGGTTCCAAGTCTTGACAGTGGTCACCCAAAACCTTTTACTGGAGTACAAATGGACAGAGAAATGAACGTAGCTTCTGTTTTTCACCTGGTGGATGGTAGTTGGGATTTGGAGTTAATGTGTAATTTGATATCTGAAGAGGACTGTAAGGAAGTTTCTAACATCCATGTGGGTGATTCCATGCGAGAGGATAGGTTGATATGGCCTGCGGATAGGAATTGGCTTATACTGTTAAATCGGCCTATAGGTGGCTTCGGAAAAATCATGATAGACAACGGATTTCTCGACCTTCCTCTTCTCGGCATATTGATCCGGCGGTGTGAAGGGGTTTGGAGGTTGGAGGCCCTCCAAAAATTCGACATTTCTTATGGAAAGGAGTCAAAGGTGCTTTAGCTACGAAGCTGAATCATTTTAAGCGGAAATGTGCTATGTCTCCCATATGTCCGATCTGCAATGAGTGTGAGGAGTCTGTTGAACATCTTTGTTGTTTTGTCTTTGGGTTGATATGGTATGGTTTGGTGGCCCTCTGAATTATAAAGTTGATAAGAGCTCTATTCCTAATTTTGATGCTTGTCTTTTTAAAATGTTTAAGGAGAATTTTGGGGATAAGGCGGAGAGGGCGAGAGTTCTATCTCTGTTGGCCTTCACATGTTGGCACATTTGGAAAACTCGTTGTAAGTCTATTTTTGACCTCAAGCATCCTTCTCTTCTGCAAACTATACAAGTTATTCAATGTGATTATACCCTGTTCATGAAGGCGAAGGAGAGGAAAATTATCCAACGAAATGCACTGTCTACTGTTTAGCAGGACTGTTCTTGGTCTCCACCCCCTTCCCAAATGGTAAAAATTAATGTTGATGCGAGCTGGAAATCGGGACCTTCAAAAAGTTTTGTGGGGGGTAATCGTGAGAGACTCGAGGAAAAGATGTTTAATGATTCGAAGAAAGGATGTGCACGCCTTCTGTCCTGAAGTTGCTAAGGCTCTAGTGATCCTTGAGGGGTGTCTATTGGCACAACAATGCAATTTTTCTCAAATCATGGTGGAATCAGATTGTAAGCAATTAGTTTCTTATTTAAATGGTAGTGTTGAAAATTGCAGTTTGAAGACATACTTTATTTTAAGTCGAATACGGCAGATGGGGTGTCATTTTATTAACTGCATGTGGTCCTGGGTGCCTAGGATAGGGAATGAAGTGGCAAACTTTGTCGCTAGATTTCGTGGAACGGAGATGAGCGAATCTACCTGGGTCGATAGACCCCCATCTTCGTTGGTGAGGATTTTGAACAAAGATGGTTTACCTTGTCCTCCTTCTTAGGTAGGCTTGGTGTGGGGTGGGGATGACACGTTAGCCTTTTTTGGTAGCATCTTCTGTATTCCCTATCTCGCTGTTTTGTTGGTCAGGTTGTCTGACTTTCCTTATGTTTGGTGGCTGTTGCCTTGGAATGTGATTTTCCTTGTTTCAAAAAAAAAACAAATTATTGATTATTTAAATATTTATTTTAAGATTTCTATTATAATGATCCCTGAATTTGGAAAATTCATATTCAGTTTGAGCAGATTAGATGGAAGTCTTTGAGCCAACTTGCATCCACGAATTACACCCATATACAAAAGCAGACAAAATAAAAGTCCGCGTATGCAGAATATGGAAATCAACAATACCCGGATCTGTTCAAAAATACACATCTCTGCATTCTGTGTTGCTTGATGAGATGGTGAGAAACTATTGTTTTATTATCTTAATTAGAGATTATAACAATGAAATTCTTAAATAATTTTAGTTAACTGCCTGATTAGCATTTATCTTTCCCTTGCTTTTTTGGATAATGTTAAGGCTATGTATCTGGATTGCACACTGAAATTCTTAAATAATTTTAGCTATTTTTTTTTTAACAGATGGATTGCACATTATCATTGAGTTCTTTTATTATTTCATATTTTTTTATAATTGCTCAACCAGCCTGGGCCTCAGAACAATGAAGTACCAGCAAAAGCAATCAAATTAGGATATCTTTTAAAGATTGCACATTATCACTGTTTTGATTATGCTATTAACATTTCTCCAAATTCTGCAACAGATTACAACTGCATTAGCAAAGTTGTTTTACAGTTGCGGATGGCTATGTCATAATGCATAATACATACTAGGACCGTAGTGAAAGCCAACCTTCAAGGAATGAAATGTCATACTTACAGTAAATGGATCCAACCGAAAGACCAACAACTTTGGTATGAAATGTTGTGTCAAACAAACTTTAGAAATTCTGTAAAAGATTTAGACAACCAGTTAGGTGTAAATTTATGCAATAGTGGGAAAGAATTATGTGTGTTAGGACCAACTTTTATTTGTACTAAAAATGTGTTGTGACCAATCAGAGGACAATTGTCAATTGTTATACCTATAATTTTTAATGAATAAAATAAGCATCTCAAACAAGATGACTTTCAAACTGACCATTATGTTTTTAATAATTTTAGCAGCAAAATTTAGTTTGTTTATGAACAGTTCAATGAAGAGTTTAATGGAAAAACGGTTAAACAAGAAATATGGAGACGCAGAACAATATCATGGAAGATAATTTAAGAAGATAACAAGATATTATGTTTTAGACAGTAAACCTGTATTTACCCTGTCACTTTAGCGAATTGATTCATTTTCGTGTTGCATGTTTAACATTCGTCTAGGTGATGGTGATTTGATGTTGTACAAACTGGAATTGCTGAGGCTAGGCTTGAATTTGGCCATATTTGGGTAAGAACCGTGAAACTCTAATCCTAATTTTTTCCTCCTTCGAATTGCGAGCGAAAATTGATGTATTGTACTCTTTGTTTTTTGGAATTGGGTATATTTTCGCAATTGGGGTTTATAATGTTTATCAAGAAATTTGATCTA